TAAATGTACCACATTTTCTCTATCCATTCTTCAGTTGAGGGGCATCTAGGTTGTTTCCAGGTTCTGGGTATTACAAACAATGCTGCTATGGACATGGTTGAACATATGTCCTTGTTGTATGAACATGCCCTATTTGGGTATATACCCAAGAGAGGAATGGCTGGATCTTGAGGTAGACTGATTCTCATTTTTCTGAGCAACCGCCATACGGATTTCCAGAGTGGTCTTACAAGATCGCACTCCCACCAGCAATGGAGGAGTGTTCCTTCTTCTCTGCATCCTCTCCAGCATAGGTTGCCATTGGTATTTTTTATTTTAGCCATTCTGACAGGTGTGAGGTGGTATCTCAGAGTTGTTTTGAGTTGCATTTCTCTGATGGCCAATGATTTTGAGCACTTTCTTAAGTGTCTTTCAGCCATTTCAGATTCCTCTGTTAAGAATTCTCTATTTAGTTCTGCACCCCACTTTTTATATACCCCATTTTTAATTGGATTATTTGGTGTTTTGTTATCTAGTTTCTTGGGTTCGTTGTATATTTTGGAGACCAGCCCTCTGTCAGATGTGGGGCTGGTTAAGATCCTTTTCCATTCTGTAGGATAATGTTTTGTCTTGTTGATCATGTCATTTGCTTTACAGAAGCTTCTCAGTTTCAGTAGGTTCCATTTATTAATTGTTGCTCTCAGTGTCTGTGCTACTGGTGTTATGCTCAGGAAGTGGTCTCCTGTGCCAATTCATTTAAGGGTACTTCCCACTTTCACTTCTGTCAGGTTCGGTGTGGTTGGTTTTATGTTGAGGTCTTTGATTTACTTGGACTTGAATTTCGTACATGGCCATAGTTATGGATCTATTTACATTCTTCTACATGTGGACATCCAGTTATGTCAGCACCATTTGTTGAAGATGCTTTCTTTTTTCCATTTTATAGTTTTAGCTTCTTTGTCAAAAATCAGGTATTCATAAGTATGTGGATTGATATCAGGGTCTTTGATTTTATTTCATTTGTCCACTTGTCTGTATTTATGCCAATACCAAGCTGTTTTCATTAGTGTAGCTCTATAGTAGAGATTGAAGTCAGAGATGGTGATGCCCTGTTGTTGACTTCTTATAGGAAAGATGATGATGTAGCTCTTTCACCAGCTTCCTATCTCTCCAACACACATTTCATATTTGACCTTCTTGCACAGTGCACACTGATGGTTTCAGGTGCATCATTTCTAGGGGTTTACACAGTCAAATCATCAAATCTAAGGGAACACTAGTCACAAATTAATAATTAGTGTGATTTATTTTCTTTCCTTGTCTAACATTTTCCTTGGAGTCAATATTTGTACTCCCATCTGGTTGTTCTCTATTACCTGTGTCAAGTTCAGCACTACTATCAACTGTAGATGTAAAAATCTTCTACCCATGTGTTAAAAGATGTCTGGCATTCTACTCACTTGATTCCCATGAGTTCTCTGAAGGAACTTTGTTTGTGTGTATGTATGTGTGCAGGCTAGGAGTAGATGTCAGAATGCCTTCCTCTATCTCTACCTTATATTTTTATAACTTTTATTTAATACTTATTTTATGTATATGAATGTTTTGCCTGCCTATATGTATGTGCACCATATGCATGCCTGGTACCAGAGGAAAGCTGAAGAAGGCATCAGATCCACTGGAACTAGAGTTAAGGATATTTATAAGCCACCATGTGGGTCCTATGAAACATACCCTGATCCTCTGAAAGAGCAAGAAATGCTTTTAAACATTGAGCCATCTCCTTAGCTTCTCCCACTAACTAACTAACTAACTAACTAACTAACTAACTAACTAACTAACTTACTTTCTTTGTCTTCCTTCCTTTCTCTCTTTGTCTCCATCCACCCCTCCCTCCCTCCTTCCCTCTCTCCCACCCTCTCTCTCTCTCTCTCTCTCTCCCTCCCTCCCTCTATCTCTCTCTCTCCCTCCTTCTCTTTCTTTAAAGACAAGGTCTTTCACTGAACCTGGAGCTCACCAATTAGGCTACGGGGGCTGGCCAATGAGCCACTGGTACTCTCCTGTTTCCACCCCCCAGTACTGGGATTACAGATGTTGGGGATCCAAACTCAGGCCCTCAATTTACCCACTGAACCATCTCCCCAGCCCAACGGAGCCTTTAATTTGCTTTCCAGACCTGCTGCCCAGTTGTGAGCACAAGCTTCCCTTGGTCATCTGGGAAATAGAAAACGATGTTTGCTTCTGTCCCTCCTCCTTTCCCTCTCCATCCCTCCATCCAGTACCCTGTTTCCTAAATCCCTTGTTCATTGTGGTGGTCTACTATATGTGTCATAAAAATCAGGAAAAATATTGTAGAGGAAGCAAACTATTTGCATTCTTTCATGCCTGAAAATGTTTCACTGTACATTCACAGTTAGAGCTGGGAATGTAAGTAGCAAGTTCTACCTCATATGAGGCCCCAGGTTCAATCCCTAGAATGGGAAAGAGTGGAAAGGAAAGTAGAGGCAGGAGGAGACAACAGAAAAGAAGTCAAAGGAAAAGGGAAGGGAGAAAAGGAAGGAAAGGGAAAAGAAGAGTCCTTAATTCAGATAATTGTTTTGTTATAAAATAAATTCTAAGTTGGAAATCATTTATCTTTCAAGCTTTGAAGGCATTTATTCACCACCTTCTAATTGTGCTGAGAAGTCTGAAGACATTCTGACTTCCAATTCTTTGAATCTGACTTGATTTGTTTTTCTCCAACAGCATATCTCTTATTACCGGTATTGAAGATATTATTCAGCCATATTCTTGATTATATTGATGCTATCGAGAAGTCATATTGCGGTCTAAAAGTCATGGTTTTAAAGGTAATATGTTTCCCCCCTCTAGTTTTAATATCTTGTCTCTTGATACAGATATATTTTTGAGTTTGTTTTTTCCATTTGAAATTTATTAAGCTTCTTAATGTGTGGATCTGTGACATTCATTAGTTCTAAAAAGCTCTTATGGATTATCTCTTCAAATATTCATTTTATTTTCTCAATCTGGTACAGTGAGAAGATTTTTGTTAGACCTCCTCATCCTGTCTTCTGTTTCTACTTCTAAAAGTTTGTATTTCTTTATATTTCTGTGCTGGATTCTGGATACCTTTTTATCTCTGTTTTATTATTTACCAGCTTTATCTAATCATATAAAATCTGCTATTAAATCCATCTATTGAACACTTAAAACATTTTTTAAAATTGCAGAATCTGGAATATGCACATAAAGGTGCAGAAAACGTAAACATATATCTTAAGAAATACTTATAAGTAATTGTAGTCTCCACCTCCCTTACAGTCACAACCACCTTCAGGAAAAGCATCCTCCTAATGCTTATACTACTCATGACTAGGCTTTGCCTTTAGAGTTTGTCACCTATATAGACATCCCTATACAATATCCCTACATTTTGCATGCTCTTAAAATTTATCCAAACAGAACCAAATACAATGTGATATTTTCTGTTCCATATTATGCTTGTAAGATTCCTTCATATTTCTCAAGGATGTGGTTTTATTTCCTTTGTTATATAGTAGTTTATTGTCCTCGTTTGACTCCCTGCCTATTTTTGTCTCATTAATTCTTAGGAAATAATGTGTGAGACAAGTGATTTCATGAATGGATAAACCTGTTAGCATAGAAATTTCTCTACCTACCATCTTCCCAGAAGTAGCAATACAGCCATATGGATTAATAGGAATAATCTTACTGCTACTTTATAAGAACAGCCTCTAATAAATGAGACATAACTGGTAATTCTTGGAAGAGATAATAGGAAGAGAGGTTCAAGGCCAGGTGAGGGAGATGTAGAGGTCAGATTCTACCCACCTGAGGTTTGTAGTAGGGTACCAGCAAGAAGTTAGGTGTTGAAAAGGAAGGAGTTGGGGGCCTAGAAAATGAACTCCACCTCCCCACAGTCTGTTTTGGGCCCATCTTGAATATACAAACCTTGTATACATCACTGTCTATGCACACATGTATTTTTGTGAAGTGAATTCATACATGCTCATATCTTCTATTTGAAGCTCACAAAGCATATGTTACATGTTTTATTATTTCCCAATGTAGGTGGAAAGCACGAAGAGCTCAAGTGCAACCTTGCCCCCCAATGTACCCTCCTACAGGTCTCTGTCCTCCTCCCATGAGGATTACCCTAGCAGTCACACTAGCTTCTCAGATGGTGAGCTTGCCCGGAATGTGAGGGAAGGTGTCAAGCATCGAATCTTCTACCTCTCAGAGCAGCTGAGAGTGGAGAAGGCCAGTAGGGATGAGAATACTATGAGCTACCTCAAGCTAGTATCCAAAGCTGACCGACACCAGGCCCCACATATCCGGCAGGCCTTTGAGAGGGTGAACCAGCGCACCTCTGCCACTATTGCTCACATAGAACGAAAGCTCTATCAGTGTCACCTGCAGCTGAAGGAGCTGGAAGAGGGCTGCAGCCCTACAAGCTCAGTGCTAAAAGTGAGCAGTGGTGTGGACGGCCATAAGCAACCTGGTGAGAAGGTCTCATATTCCAAGTTGTCCAAGCCAGGGGGGGAAGATAGCCTGCCCATCGATATAGCTAGGCCCTACACTCTGGAGAGTCACTTGTCAGGCATGCAACAGAGGAAATTCTCAGACAAAAAGTATGTGGCTCAGCAGCAGAAGATGAAGGAAGAACTGACAGAAGCCAAGAAAGTCCATGTTGGTCTTCAGGTCTCCCATCAAAGCCTCAAGGAAAGTCATGTGACTAATGTGCGGGAGGTACTGGAGTCCCTCCAGGAAAAGAAAGCCAGGTGAGGAAAGCCCCCTTTTACACCTTGGCTCTTAAGACAAGAGATAATTTGAGATCCACCCATATGAAGGGTTGAGAAGGAGCCAGGAAAAGAGTCAAGGTGAAGGTAGGTGAGAAGAGCAGGTTTGTAATTTCTCTTTAGTGGCTGTTGCTTACAGTGGAATGAGTAGTTCTTTTCCTGACGCTCTACACCAACCTTTGTCCCTTGCTGGTTAAATAGTCTGTAGCTAGGGTGCCTGCTAGGAAGTCTGCTTTGGTGCAATGCAACAACAGAGGCAGCCAGGTGCAGTGGGAGCCTGGCAGACTGCTAGCATCAGAGAGATAATGTCCCTATGTCCCATTTGCTAGGGCAATTTTCCGGGACCCAAGTCTGAACTGAAGTATAATGTCAAGCACTGGATGTATTGGATACTCAGTTTAAAAGTGACTATGTTTTGTGAGTGCTTTCTCATCAGTACGCTATGGCTTAATTTTTTTCCTCTAAGACAAAACAGGGGTCCAACAACTTAAAAAGAGGCAAGATAGGCATTCACTATGTACTGATTTTAAGGCCAGCCTTCAATACATAGTGAGACCCTGTCTCAAAACAACAGCAGACAACAAAAACATAAATCTAATCTTTCAATGGGTCCATTCCATTCCTGTTGTACTCCTCTGGTT